AGAAATAACAAAATTTAAAGCACTTTTCAGCGATTTTTATGGTAAGTGCTAGAAAGCGCTTAGTGAAACCGTTTTCTAAGCTAAAATAAGCAGCTTATTTGAGTGAAGCGGCTTTTAGCAGGTTAAGACGAGAATATTTAAGCGCTTTACAGCAGCTTATAGAAGCATAAGCATTTTGAAGCTGCTTGCCAATAGCTTACAAAGACAAAAAGTTTTCATATGGGTAATATAAAATTCTCTTTAATTAATCCTATATCATCTTGTTAAGATCCTAATTATTAATATAGATAGTCAATGATATTATAATAAAAATAAATTAATCCAATTTAATAGAATTTTCGACTTAAAATTCATTTTTGATATTGGAATAATTTGTTTCGATTTTAACGAATTATCAATGATAAAACAACATACAGTTTACATTTTACCTAAGTTAACTTTTTTCTTGTTTTTGATAAAAAAGAATGAATTGAATTGTTATATTCTGAATAATGATAATTTTTTAATGAAAATAAAAATAAATCTATGAATGTCTACACTGATAAATATCGATATAAATAATTCGAAGAAATATTATAAATTTTTTCTCGTATTTAACTTATTTTCTTTTAATTTTAGTTTGGAATGTTTACATTTTCATCGTCGTGAATTTGATGATTTACTCAATTCATCAACAGCATTATCATTATTCTGCTTGTTAATATTTTCTCGTGGTGAATAATATTCCTTGAAAGATTATCATAATATGAAATTTACAGAATTAGACAAAGGAAAATATGCTCATTCAATTGGTTTTGGTGATTTCTTTTCTTTTTTTACAATTTAATGGTATTATTTGTATTATCACCGGTTTCATTGATAGAAATGAATATTGGTCGTATAATATTCATAGAAATTGGTTCCATACTAACAATATGGATAGGTAACTTACATTCATGAAATTCTTGAATACAATCGAAGATGAAGCAACTTTAACATTATAAGTGATCGTTTTCTCTACTTACTTTATCCTAGTTAATGTTTTCATAGAAGATTCAAACCGAAATTTATATGAATATTTAGAATTATATAATTATTGTTGATTTTGAAATAATATTAATAAAAATGATTTGATTCATTTTCAATAATAATAAATATCCTGTGTGAGAAATCGAAATTTATTTTTTTTTATTATTTCGTAATTACAAATAATAAAATAAAAATTATTTTATATGATTATTTATTTAAAAAAAATATTATTTTCTAGAAGATAGATGAGCAGTTATTAACATTTTATCCGATATAATCATCGTAATTGAGAAAATATCATTTAAAAATATCAGAATCGGACGTAGTTAGTCATAAATATAAATTTTTTAGCTAATTTTGATACTTTTTAAACGTATTTTCTGACGTATAGCATTAATATTGGATAACGTGAATAAATCTCACTTGAAACCTTGATCGAAATTGAGCGTGATAAATAAGGTAAATATAGTATTGTATCTTTTATATGAAAAATGAAGAATTAATTTATTCTTAATCATGATTTAAAAAACGTGAATAATGTGTATTAGTATCAACATATTAAACGTTGCTAAATTGAAAATTGTAAAGATTTATTTTTTAGAATTTTTCGTTTATTTAAGATTTGAACAAGTAGATACATCAATGAAAATGATGTATAATAGAAAAAGAAAAAATACTATTAACACTCCATTTTTTTTTCTCTTTATTTCTCGTAAATACAACATTTTTTGTCATTAATTATAAATAGGACTGTTTCGACCAGGAGAGAAGGAACTATATGACGCACATCTCCTGCGATAATTGGAAAATTTTATTATTTTTACCAGTTGAAAAGTTGAAAAGCAAATCTGGATTAGGCGTTTGCTAACTTTTTTCCGATAGTACAGGATTAAACGGAGTTTTTCTCGAACAATATATACATAGTAAAGTCAAAACTTATTCGATTCGCAAAAAAAGTAACGCCTATAGCATCATAGGCGACATAAAAACTCTTTCATCTTTAGTTTTATCAACATGCTAACATATTTTTTATGCGTTTAAAGAGCTATGTTTTTTGAATAAATGCCACGAGCATGACCGTAAAAGAATTCGTAACAAATAGTACGAAGTGCAAAAAAAACTGACCCCTAACATTTTTTATTAATATTGTTATAGTTTTAAAATAAGTTAACACAACAATATATGTAGTATGTAGTGTAATTAATTTTCAACTTAATAGAATAAAACTGGAAAAGGATTTCATTCTCTCCCGACTAAAATAAAGAAAATTTGAAATCGAGTCATTTTTTTTAAATTTCTTATTTTGAAAAATTTTCGAAAGATTCTAAACAATGACAAGATTTTCACAAATTATAATAATGCATACACAAAATAACTATTATATTACAACACATATCTACAATCTATGTTACCCACTCTACTATTGTACATAACTTTCATCATAAATACTTTGACTGTTAAAATTAAATTTTCGAATATATGATAAAGAAATAGGTCTATATAGGTGGAAAATAACAATTATTCTTTGATTTAAATTTTCATTTGTAAGATTATGTAAAACTGTTCTTGTTGTGTACTCAAAAAGTGAGTACACTCGAGAATCGATCAGTGTGTCCGTCCCTCCGTCCGTTTACACGATAACTTTTGAAAGTAGAGTCCGAATGCGACGAAATTTTCTACACAGTTCAGTCTTAACAATATCTCGGTCGAGTTCGAAGATGAAAAGAATTGGCCGAACCATTCCTGGGTTATTGCAAAAATACTCATTTTTCCTTATGGCTTCCTATACGAGAATCGACCCATGCCCGCTTTCGTAAAAAACTTTTCCTATCATAGTCAAATAAAACCCCAACTATTATATACAATTCGATAGAGAATTTTACGAGCTACAAAATGGTGTATAAAACATAAAGAAACAAGAATGTTAGCTCACCTATTGCAAAGATAAATAAACGGAAATCAGTTCTGTTCTTGTCGACGCTCTAACTGATCCACAAATAGAGCACTATCTTCGCACAAGAGGTGATGCTTGAAGGTTTTCTTGGGTGAAGAACTCGATTCTGTGCTCCCTCCATTTGTTTCGAAGCCCTATTGCTTGAGCACTGACCAATAGAAATCAAGTTATAGAAAAAACGACTTTCTGAAGGTAAATTAAGGCGAAGAGGTCAAATCTGAGCTGTATTCACCCCCCAAATCGTATTGGTTGAGCAGTAGTCAATAGAATTTAAGTGTTTATAGAAAAGGTTTACCAAGTTGATTTATATATCCACACATTCTTGGAAGGCTGATTTGTCTCATTCACTTTTTGAAGTACACATAACTCTTGGACTTAAGTCCGAGGTTTCCACATTTATATATATTGTACATTCAATATTGTTACTGTTGTTATATAATTTAGTTCTTTTCTAATTACGAATAAATATTCAGCTACATTTTAATCTCGAGGAATCAGTATTTTTTTGCACTCCGTATTATCGTTAGTTGTTTTTGCCGATAGTTCAGTTATTGAAAAGAATTAACATAGAAGCAAGATTTTATCAGTCACAAAAAAATATTTGCTCTAGCAAATAGTATAAGTGGCACAAACGTAACCAGTTTTTAAAGATATAAAATTTAATTCTATGAAATTTTGATTAATTATATTTTCTGATTAGCATAGCTTCGATCAAATAGTCACTTATAAATAATCTTATGTTCAAAAAAGTCTATGTACAAAATCAATTATGAATTCAATCAAAAATGTTTCATCAATCTTCGATTAGTTTTTTTATTAATAAAATAAATCAATATTCAGAATAATAATAACTATATTAAGTAATAAGTGAATAGATTGATTTATCATAATTATTTTATGATATCGAGATAAACCTTCTTGATACTCCAAGCAACAGCTGATAATCATTCTTCATCGTCAATAATTTATTTTTCAATATTCTTAAAAATGTAATACTCAATTCTTTATCGTACACATCTACGGTTATTAGAATTAGATACTGTCCACTCAAGTTGTGTGTGTATTGATGAAATAATAATAATCTTCAGGTTATCTCTATCGGCGCACACACATATATTTATGGAGGTGAGCAGTCTGACCCAGAGATGTGCATCGCGCCGCGGCCGCGACAGCGGCAGGTTTTTTCTATAGATTAGCGCGGCGCGGCACGATTTTTTTTGCAGAAATTTACTCTATAATTCTAAAAAATTTCTAGCTTCACAGCTGAAATTAAACTAGTCTTTCACATAAAGTAGACAAATTAAATTCTGTTTCTAAATGTTGCATTTTACGGTGATTTTAAAATACGGAGACTAATAAAAGCTATCATTTCCTTCAGATTCTTTCGTTGTTCCATGAAGAACTTAAATAGTCGATGTGATCTCAGAAGCTATACTTGTTCTATATATACTTAGAAGTTATTTGTTACTCTAGCATCTAAACCGTTATTCCTCATTGATTTCGAGTGAAAACCAGACTGCATGACTATTGTAGACTGACAAATGGCATTTTTTCTTCATGTAATGGTAGTAGCGGTGCTGTAACCTTTTCTTCAAATATCGCTGCAACAACGGCAATGTTTTTAGTATGTTGAGATGCAGAAGCACCGCGGCAACATATATTTTATATAATACAGCGGCGCGGCAGCGGCAGGTTTTCAACCGCGATGGACATCTCTGGTCTAACCCGGAGGCCCCAATTCTTTTTTTGTCGCTCTGCTTCTATAGTATTTCAGAAAAAGATGATTTTTCTACCAGTTATACTACTCGTATAATGCTGATGATCTGCCAAGTATAAGACGTCCATTTCTTGTCTAAAAGCAAAATAATCACAGTCATCAAAAAAATGTTTTGCTCTTTATGAACAGATTTTTCGAAGACTTTAATTATTTTGGTTTTTAACAAAGTATGAGCGTCTTATATTTGGCAGCTCATCAGCATTATATGAGTAATATAACTGGTAAGAAAATCATATTTTTCTGAGATACTATAGAAGCAGAACGGCAAGAAAAAGAATTGGGGCCTCCGGCCAGACTACTCACCCCCATATAAATATGGGGGTGTCCAGTTTGACCGGAGGACCCATTAATATATTTTTTATTGTAAAGATAAAATATACTGTTGTTCGGGCCAATCCTAGGTTATCTGTGGTTCTCTCTCATATGATCCGAACAACACCATGTTTTATCCGTACAATATGTAGAGAAGAGTTACTAGCTCACACGGTAAACTAGTAACTTTTCTCTACTATTGTACGAATAAAACATGGTGTTGTTCGGATCATATGAGAGAAAACCACAGATAATCTAGGATTGGCCCGAACAACAGTATATTTTATCCTTACAATAAAAAATATATTAATGGGTCCTCCAGCCAGACTGGACATCCCCATATATATACGTTTGAACGAATCTTTTCCGTAAAACAATAGTATGTATGAGCGGATGATCTTTCTTGATACTGAACTTCTGTAATGAGTACAACGTAAACCGATGGTGGTGGAATTTCATAATTATTCGTTATTGAACGAGCTGATGATGGTCCATATAATTCATCTTTAGATATTGGTCAGTTGCCTATCATCATGTTCGTCTATCTTATAAAATCAAATAATAAACGGTTGTAAATGTGGATATGAGTGTGTCAGCGAACAGGATGGAAATATTAATATCCACACTGACACACCCACACTCACTCCACGTCACTCAGGGGGAATGGTCA